TCAGGCCCAGCACCTTTGCGCGGACTCCATCCCCCCTCCCCTCCACATATCCTCCCTCCCTTCTCCTCTCCTCTAACCTCCCCCCTCCCTCATCCCCTGTCCTCCCATCACTTCCCCCCGCCCCCTCCATCCCCTCTCTTTACACGATGGGGCCACTTAGCCCTCTAGGACACCCTGGTCGGCGGACGCGAAAAACATTCAGCGCGATGGAAAGGGATGGGTGGAAGAGGTAGGATGCCTGATATGCCGCGAATGCAGCTAGCTTGCCTCCCTCCCCTCTTTTCCCTCGCGCTTCCTCCTCCTCCTCCTCCCCCTCGTGGAAGACAGAACACACTTCGGAGTGGATGTAACGGGCACGAGGCCAGTTCGCCGGCGGACCTACTCAACAGGAGCCGCTTCACCGGCGGACCGCTTCGCAGGCGGGCCCTGGGACCCCAACGGGCGCGTCGGGCGGGCGGAACCTCACGGCAGACAAGCGGGCGGACCATCAAGGGCGAGTCAGGCGGACGCTGACAACGGGCGGGCGGAAGATTAAAGCGGGCGGGCGGGATTGCAAGCGAGCGAGCGATTGCAAGCAACGAGTCGAAACTCCGAGAAGGCCCCCAGGAGGCCCCAAGAGGCGCCCAAGGGGCCCCAAGAGGCCCCTAAGAGGCCCCAAAGCGGCTCCAAGAGAACCCCGAAGAGGCTCCAAGAGGCCACCAAGATGCCCCCCAAAGGCCCCCAAGAGGCTCCAAAACGGCCACCAAGAGGTTTCAAAACTGCCTACAAGAGGCCCCCGGGAGGCCTCCCACGAGATCCCAACGAACATCCAATTAGGCTGCACACCCACAACCCAGGCACGGTGGCAGGAGTTGCTGGTGGCGAGCCCACTGGAAAAGTGAGAAGGGGAAGGCCTTCTCAGAAGACGCGGGCGGAACTCAGAAGCTCTCCTGCCTTATGAGAAGCTTTCTGTGTCTTCGTGGAAGGCTCAGAAGACCTCCCAGAAGGACCGAGGCCTTCCGATCCTTCTGAGAAGGCCCGCCCCTTCTCGCTTCCCCCCCAAGCTCGCCGCCGAATCCGGCAACGCCCCACTCGCCATCGCTCGGACGTTCCCCGTGCATATTTCGGCTTCGCGCGCTCGTTCTTCGCAAGATGACCCAAGATGCTCCTCGATTGCCCTCGCCGAGGAAGATAAAAAAACGTGTCCGAGCGACGATAAAGCCCACGCCCGGCCCCCCCCCCGCCCAGCCGGCCTGCGCGCGGACTCCGGCAGCGGCGGCGAGGCCCCGCCGCGCCCGGCTCGCGGCGTCGTCCAACACAGCCCGGTCCCGTCGGGTGAGGCTGCGCGCGCCGGGCTGCCTTCGGCTGGGGGGGGGGGGCGGTCCGCTGTCGCGAGTTACGATCGGCGGCGAGCCAGGGCGGGAAGTGAAAAGCAGGAGGCCTTCTCAAAAGGCGGAGGGGCTTCTCAGAAGCCCTCTGGCCAACTGAGAAACATTCTACGCTTTCGGTGAAGGCTTCTTCTACGTTTCAAAAGGCCCGAGGCCTTCGAGCTTCCTGAAAAGGCCCGCCCCTTCTCACTTCCACCATGGACGAGCTATCCCACGTAGTGGTCTTCAATAACAAGCGAGCTGCCCTTCACCTCTGAGCGTCACGAGCTCCACGACGAGCGCGTTGAGGGAGAAGAGGAGGCCATCCCACATGAACGACGAGGAACAACGGGTTCAGCGCGAGATGAAATGGCGACCTTGCGTCGGGGATCTACTGCGGGTCATTTCAAAACTCGGGTCAGTCTGGCGTTGCAAGATCCTGCAGGGTCCTGCAAGATCCTGCACGCTGGCCCGGGTCAATGCAGCCTCGGCTCTGCAGGACACTGCAAGATCTGGCGCTCTGGCTGACCCCGCTTGCACTAAACCCAATCTTTTGGGCCTCGATTGCGCGGTGGTTTACGCAGGTCGGCAGCGTGGAACGCTGCACTGGCAACGAGGGCGCTTACTCACTGCCTTACGCGGGCAGCTCACGCGCGGATGTCCGAGCAAACGACTCCGTCGTCTTCCATCGCCCACGTAATGGTCCCTAACAACAACGAGCCCCCCATCCTCCGCCTATGAACGCCGCGAACTCCGCGACGGCACGTTGGGGAAGAATACGAGACCACCGTGCAAACAACTGGATTGCATTGACGTGAAAGGAGACCGAACTTGTCAGCGCCTCCACTTTGCAGACAAACAAATCACGATTTAGAGCCAAACCGAGAGGACGGGCCCGGTCCAGGTCCAGTGGAGGATGGCGACGGGCCCGCCGAAGGGGCGCGGTCACCGCAGAGCAGCGGCGGCGAGCAGCCAGCAGCGAGCAACGGTGGACAACTTGACCCTCCGAGGAAGGGGGCGCCAGCGGCGCGGCAATGGCGGCGGTCACACGCAGCGGCCTTTTATTTGGGATTTCAGAGCCCTGTCGCGTTGACTGTGCAAGAGTCACTCGGCGGACAAGTTCACCAACTCCCGGCCTGGATCAGGGCTTGGCGCAAGCAATGTTTTCAATGTTCGTTATGTTTTCGCTGACCCTTGTCACATGTTTGGTCCGCTTGGGCTGCAATGCGATGTAATTTTGAAAACGGCCCACAGAAACACCACAACATCGTGTAGGCCCGGCCCTGGCCTGGGTCTCTTCCGGGGCCGCATACCCTCAACTGCGAGTCGGGATGACAGGCCGATCGGGAGGAGGGAGGGGAGAGGAGGAGGATCTGAAGCCTGCGGTGCCCGCAACTTTTATTTAGTCACAATAATTTTCCTCCACGCCTATCTCACACAACCGTTGCTGCAACAATTATGGTACATGCCACGGTCGCAATCGCAATACCATCATCTCTCCGGAATCACGATCGATGTTATAATGGCAGCGGAGCGTGTGAACAATGTTCAACCTCTACGCTCTACGATCTACGATCCTGCAATGGGCAAAGAAAGAGTTGTTCCAACTTGGGACGGTCGTGCAATGCTTCGAATCATACGCGCACGATATGGAGTTGATCGTGCTCGGAATCAAAGATGGGCAGAGACACCTGATCGGGCCCACTTTTCCGAGCTCCACCCCCGCAGTCTACGAAAAGGGAACTGGCCATGGGGTTGAACAGATCTGCCTCCCATAACGAAGACGGCCAGCCATACATCCAGACTCGGTCGCGTGCTACAAGCGGGCTGAACATCTGATAGAGGCTTTGACACGCCTACTAGGTAGTCTTGTGATCGCGGACGTTGGCGATCGTCTGTGGAGGACTTGGTCGGAAGACGGCGACGAGAAAGCACGACCAGACGATGTCGTGGCAGATCGAGACAGAAGGAAACTGGTACCACGAATTGCCCGACCTCAGGGAGATACTTCGAGACCAGGTTGGAAGCGTACTGCTGCGGAGGCACGCAGGTTTGTCTGCTACGGAGAGGGCATCACTAAGCACGGCGATCGACAGCAACTGGTCGAGGGATAAACTGATCGGCAAACTGAAGACCACCTGCACGGATCAGGATATCCCGGTTCGGGATCGCTCTCAGCAGCGCGGACCACCGCAGCACTGGCGGCATCCCATGGCGGGATCGGCTCAATTCCAGAACGTGGACGAGAACGACGACCCCGCGAGCGTGGCCGCTCTCGAGGACTCCGCGGTCTGTGGACCCTGAGGATGCACAGGATGATAAGGGCGTCAAGGCGCTGCAGGAGTACGTGGCCACGCCAGCGGGCCAGGCCATCGCAGCTGACAGAACATGGGCGGAGGCTCGCAAGATACTCGACGAGGTGCAGAAGGCCCGTGGCTTCTATCCAGTGGCGGGCTCGGCCGCCTTACCGCCTGGAGGCCGCGGAGCTGCAAAATGGCAAGGTGTCCGAAGGCTGCGTGGACCACGTGGACCGCCGAGGGCACCCTGAGAGAGGGCTGCGCACGGCCCCCGACCTGCGCCGCATGCCGGTGGCGCCAAGCTTCCGCCATCAGGACCTCGGAGAATCCCGAGGCCGCTGCGGTGTCTAATCCGGCTAAGCCCACGCAAGGCGGTATAATACCACCACCAAAAAAATACCAGCAGATGAGCTCCACAGGTGTTGCTGTGATCGAGGAGCTGGACGATTCCACCTCCCCGGCTGGCCGCGCATCCCACTGGGGCGGACCTGATGGACGGGTGGAGCCAGTGAGCTCGACCCCCGCGCGGTACGCGCTGTTCTGCATGAGTGACCTCGCGGGCTACGCCGTCGTGGAATCAGGAGCGACCAAGTCCATGAGTGGCATCGCCCATGTGTCCAAATTGCACGTTCCTCCGCTCGCGGAGCGGAACGAAGGACCTGTTGGGGGCCCACTGCGCCAGCTCGAAACACTCGTCCACGGGGCCAGAGGCCCCGCCCGCAACCGGCCGAGCCCCGCCCTTCGGCGCACAGTCCCAACGCGCGCGCGCCTCGACTCTCTCCCGGCAAGAATAAAAGAGGATCGCCGACAATCCGCCGCAGTGCATGCGCGGCAATAGCGCGTTAGAATGCCTGCGAATATTTCTGTCAAACTGTCTGCATCCATAAACGGGGCCAGACGCCCGCGAGATATTTACGTGGCCAACCGTCGACGAACTCATCGCCGAACAACTTTGCAAAATCCAGGCGTCGCGCCCAGAAGGCTCGCGTAACGGGTCGGGCGTGCGTGTATCTGCCTTGCCAATCGCCGTCGGCATTCCTGCCCGCGCGCTGACGCGGGGCACTTCTCGCAGACCGACACCAGAGGCCCGCCGACCGAGCAGACAATAAATTGTTTCGGAAACCAGGGCGTGTTCAAGTATATGTAGGAGCATCAGGCCACGGGGGGGGGGGCGGTGGCCGAAGGCACCCCAATATATGCATGGGCCAAAGTACAAGCAATGCGTAAATTCCTTGCGAAGATTGAGCGCCCTGCACTGGCCAGTAAAGACAAATGCACGCAAGGATGGATGTAGAAAAAACACATACATGGAACAGCGAATAACGACCTCGATGCAGACGTGTATCCATTCTACGGTGACGTTTGCTCGGCCGTCCATGCACGTAGCCTGCCTCATCTTCGCACTGTTTGTTGGACGATCCGTACCTCGCGGGATTATCGTTGGGCTTTCCTGGACTTTCACGGGTCTCGTGGGGCTCGTTCGTCGGGCTGTCGTGGGGCTGCTGAAGCGTTCCTGTGGGTGTCCCCGCATGGTTCTAGCCAAGATTCCCTCGGGGTTCGCATAGTTTCTCGTGAAACTCGCGCGGTTTTCGCAGGGCCCCGCGTGGGGTTTCCCTGGGGCTCCCAGGGAGTTCTTTGGGATTCGGTCGGGCACTATCGGGCTCCTCTCTCCTTGTCCTCCCTATCCTCTCCCATTGTGTTTCCATTTCCCTCCTCTCGTAGGGTTCCGTCGGGTTCCTTCTCCTTTTTCCTTCTCCTCAATTCCGTCGGGTTCCGTCGGGCTTCGTCCCGCTTCGTCCTAGTTCGGCTGGCTCCGTCGGGCTCTCGTCGGTCCCCGTCGGGCTCTCGTCGTCTCTCGTCGGGTTCCCTCGGGTTCCGCCGATTTCCGTTGGACTCTTCCATCCTCTCGTCGGGCCCCGTCAAGCTCCTCCTCTCTCTTTCTGTTCCTCTCCCCCCTTCTCTTCGGGTTCCCTGAGGTTCCGTCGGGTCCTTCGGGGTCCGTCGAACTCGTTCGGCTTCTTCCTGCCTCCCTCGTCGTCGGCTCCACCCTTCACCCCACGCGTGTTTTGCAATCCCCGTCCCTTCTTCTCTCGCTCCGCCTCTTTGCCCCGCGCGGTCATTAGGGGCCCCGCTGCGGGCCCCACGAGCGACACTCACAAGGTTGGGGGCCCTCCGGGCGAGCCGAATTTTCGACCTAAGAGTCCAGTCCGGAGTCGGGCTTAAGATTTTCTGGCTTCTGGGATCTCTGGTGGGAACGCTGGTGCCCGCAATTGGGGCCTTAATGGTCCGCTTCGTGGTGGAAGACACTGTGTGAGGCCTGGCGGAGCTCTTGATTCGAACTCGGAGATGGCGTCCCCCGAAGAAGTCCGAAACCCGAAAAGATTCGGGACTCACCGAACACAGCCCTCCACTTGCGCTGGACCTCGACATGCGCAGCACTCACGGGCGTGCATCGCCCCCCTGTCCCGAACCTTTTTGGACCCCTCAGCGCCTCCATGGCGTTCTCCAAAGCCGCTCGGATGCTCGAGGCGGTTTCTAGGACGACCTTGGCAGGCCGCCGATATGGCCCAACGGCCCAAACCGTTCGAAAGACGGCCATGGGTGAAAAGTTAAGGTACCGGGCTTGACCATGAGGTAATAAGCTGAGAACCCTACTCTTAGGATAACGTCGGCGACGTACCGAAATATCCCACAA